ATCTCCAATCTGAAGCTTTATAAATGAGAAACATATTTGTCCCATATCTACTATGCGTGATAAGCAGGCCTGTGGTTTAACTACAGACTCCTGTATGCTGGTTCTGTGACTTCATTAAAATCCTGGCTTGAATTCTTGGCTCAAGCTTAGCTCTACAACTCTGACATTTTGGATTTGATTCCTAGATAATGCTTGGCTGCTAAGCCATAATTTAGCATGATGAGAAGAAGCTTAGCCTCCCCTTCTCCATTCCTTCTTTGGCTCTTCTGATGCAACCACAAAAAAAGTGTTTAAAAGCTTTCACTTCCATTATTTAATCAACCACAGCTTGCACGTGACATCTGTGGTTAATTTTAAAAATGGGGTGTTTGAAACAAGTCAACTACAAAATATGAGTTATGTAGCTGACGTGTTTAAGCAAACCAAAGTTCACCACAGCTGAAGATCTAACTGTAGTTCATCTAAACTAGGAAAGGAGCCTCCCACCTTATCCTCACAGCCATATCATGAAGAACAGACTTGGGAGGCTTACTGTGGCTCACTCCCTTAACACTAAATCATGGCTACAGTTATATGTACTTATTGCTCATGAACAACGCTCCCTCCAATTTTCATCCCTGCTGCACAGAAGCCTCAACCACCTGCATGTGAGGTCAGGGTTTCATCCAAAACCCAGAAGTGAACAGACATTGACCCTATCCAAAACCCAGAAGTAAACAGACATTGACCCCGATTGCCAAGGGAGCTCTGTAAGTGTGCACCTTCGAGGGAACACTGCTCATGAACAAAGTGTGGGGGGGTACCTCACCGCCAAATTTCAGAGGAGGTGTCCCCTACTCCAATAACGAGCCTCTTAAGTTCACATCTAAATGCATCATGACTAGCAATGAACAGATCTTGCAAAATAGGCATGGAAAAATTCCTTTTTTGGGGGGAAGGGGCTACAATTCCAAGAATTCCCCAACCAGCTTGACTGTGGTGGCTGGGGGATTTGGGGATTTATATACCCCCTCCAAAAAAGGATTACAGTGGTGCCTCACTTAACGAGTGATTTGTTTAACGACAAATCCACATAGCGATGTGTTTTTTGCGATGGCAAAAGTGCTCGCATTGTGATGTTTTAAATGGTAAAACATCGCTTTGCGACGATCGGTAAGCTGTTTCACTTACTGATTTTCACATAGTGATGTTTTTCCTAACAGCTGATTGGCAGTTCTAAAATGGCCACCAGAAAAAAATGGCCGCCCGCAGTGTTTTCGCACACTTTCCTCGCTTACCGGGCAGCGAAAATGGTGGCCGCATGGAGGATTTCCGCATAACGGTGAGTTTTTTTGCCCACAGGAACACATTAAACGTGTTTTAATGCATTCCTATGGGCTTTTTTGTTCCGCATAGCAAAGAATCCGTATAGCGACGATTTTTTTGGAACGGATTATCGTCGCTATGCGGGGCACCACTGTATTCCCAAGCTCTGCCAATGAGTCCCATATCACAGAGGAACTATCAGGACTTTGAACAGCACTGGATAACATATGACTTGCTATGAAATGTGTGGAATGTTGCACCTTCTCAAGACCTAAAGTATCACCTTGCTTGCAGCCAATATAATGGGAAAAGCAATCACTATGATGCAGGCAGGATGTAGTACTTACTTATCTAAAAAAAAAGTGGCACAAGTTCCTTCAGTTGTGAAAAACAAATGACTCACTATCACATCAGATGATGTACAGACCATAGTATATCCAAAAAGAGTACAGTGGTGCCTCGTTTAGCGATGTTAATCCGTGCAGAAAAATCGGTGCTAAGCGATAACATCGCTAAGCGAAAATAAAAAGCCCATACAAACACATTAAAACGTTCCTATGGGCTAAAAACTCACCTTTAAGCGAAGATCCTCCATAGGGGCGGCCATTTTCGGTGCCTCTTAAGCGAGGAAACACAGTGGGTGGCCATTTTGTTTACCCGGTGGCCATTTTGAAACCATCGATCAGCTGGCCGAAAATGGGCGCTATGCGATGATCGCTTCCCTGCGATCATCACAAAGCGAAATTTCCCCATAGGGACCATCGCAAAGCGATCGCTTTTGCGATGGCAAAAAGTCCATTGCAAAGCGATTTCATCGCTATACGGAGCGATTGCTATGCGAGGCAGCACTGTACTACAGTGGTGCCTCGCTTATCAACGATAATCCATTCCAGGAAAATTGCAATTAAGTGAAAATATCGTAAAACGAAATTAAAAACCCAACTGAAATGCACTGAAACCCGTTCAATGCATTCCAATGTGGTAAAAACTCACCGTCCAGCGATGATCCGCCACACGGTGGCCATGTTTGCTGCCTGTATATCGAGGAATCCATCCCTAAACACAGCAGGGAGGCATTTTAATCACCCAGTGGCCATTTTGAAACTGCTGATCAGCTGTTTAAAAAAACATCGTTTTGCGAAGAATCGGTTCACGAAGCAGGGAACCGATCATAGCACAGCGAAAAAGCCTTATTTAGACCATCGTTTTGCGATTGCAAAAAGATCATCGTACAGCAATTTTGTCGTAATGCGGGGCAATGGTTAAGTGAGGCACCACTGTAGTACCTTCTCTATTATATGCAACAGCATATCTATATCCTCACATGTATGCATAGCAATTCTGTCTGAGTCCATTCTCAATTACGTCTCACTGTAACTAAATGGGGTTTACTCCTAGGAAAGTGCTGAAGTGTCTATTATCTAGACAGAGGGATTTTCTTTAAAAATGGACAAGCACTCAGTTATCTGAACCCCGATCTCCAATCTGAAGCTTTATAAATGAGAAACATATTTGTCCCATATCTACTATGCGTGATAAGCAGGCCTGTGGTTTAACTACAGACTCCTGTATGCTGGTTCTGTGACTTCATTAAAATCCTGGCTTGAATTCTTGGCTCAAGCTTAGCTCTACAACTCTGACATTTTGGATTTGATTCCTAGATAATGCTTGGCTGCTAAGCCATAATTTAGCATGATGAGAAGAAGCTTAGCCTCCCCTTCTCCATTCCTTCTTTGGCTCTTCTGATGCAACCACAAAAAAAGTGTTTAAAAGCTTTCACTTCCATTATTTAATCAACCACAGCTTGCACGTGACATCTGTGGTTAATTTTAAAAATGGGGTGTTTGAAACAAGTCAACTACAAAATATGAGTTATGTAGCTGACGTGTTTAAGCAAACCAAAGTTCACCACAGCTGAAGATCTAACTGTAGTTCATCTAAACTAGGAAAGGAGCCTCCCACCTTATCCTCACAGCCATATCATGAAGAACAGACTTGGGAGGCTTACTGTGGCTCACTCCCTTAACACTAAATCATGGCTACAGTTATATGTACTTATTGCTCATGAACAACGCTCCCTCCAATTTTCATCCCTGCTGCACAGAAGCCTCAACCACCTGCATGTGAGGTCAGGGTTTCATCCAAAACCCAGAAGTGAACAGACATTGACCCTGATTGCCAAGGGAGCTCTGTAAGTGTGCACCTTAGAGGGAACACTGCTCATGAACAAAGTTTGGGGGGGGGGGTTCCTCACCACCAAATTTCAGGGGAGGCGTCCCCTACTCCAATAACGAGCCACTTAAGTTCACATCCAAATGTATCTCTTGTCTGGTGCTGCACAATTTTCAATCTGCATTCTGGATTTCCCTTAGCACTGAATAGCCAAAGTCTGACATCTGACCTTCTTATAGTTTAGGCAACCTTTAGCTCCCAATCTATGATCCTTCTCTGAAGCGTAGGCAACTCAAAGACGCTCCTTAGCCATTGCTTCCACTGAATATTCTTTTAATATTGGCGTTGAACTCCGTGATGCATGAACAGAGCAGCTGATCTTTGTAGTTAAGTGCCACAACTTCTCACTCTTATTGCTGCAACTATGAAAATCCACATGAACTATTGTAACATGGCAGTACAATCAACAGAATCTCTAGAACCAACCTAAAGAACTTGAAGTTCACCGTATCAGCGTCAGCCAAATACACAGTGCTTCAGCAATGGCGCATGATAATGTATTATAACTGGTTTCCATTTATATATGGACTGACATTTTGTATTTGCCTCCTTTACTTGAAAAGGCAATGTATCAACACTGAGCACAAACAATTAGAAGGATGGTTTGTTCACCTGTTCTTCCTCCTGGTCCACGACAAGTTTGACATTATCAACTATTTCGTTATAACTATCTTTCAGCTGTATAAATTGAAGAAGCAAATATTCTGGACTGGAACCACAATGTATAGCTCTCAAGAAAAGCTAAACTACTGTTTTAGTGTTTAGCTCTTTAGCTTTCTTTAAGAAAAGACATAGAACACTTTCGAACGGACTCTAGGGAGTGATTCATAGGAAAACTGTATTAGACTTAACTATAATTATCATTACTTGTTGACACACCTCTTAAACACAATTAAAGGTAACGCATTTGCTCCAGAAAGAGGACAAGAAAGAAGGCAGCGCCAAGGTTGTCATCTCGTTTCTTAAACACAGGTCGTTTCTCCCTCTGCCCAAAAAGTCATTTGAAAAGCAGACAGAATGATAAATGCAGAAGAAGCCAGAGTGAATTAACTCAAGTGCAAATTGCCCTCCAATACAAAATACTCCCGTTTTAACTTTTCCTGAGGGTGTTTTTGCAGAATAGATGGAGATGAATTCAGAGAGATCTCCCACTAGCTAAACATCAAAATTCCTACTCAAATACATTAAACCAAATACTATGTCAGGGCAGATTAATTTGAATTGCTTTGTATGCAGCATGGCTGCTCTGTGTTTGCAGTGATTTTAAATTGCCTACCTTTGCTCCCATACGACTTGCAAACAACTCTGCTTACCCTTGAAGACTGATGTGCTCTTGAGAGCTTTCGGCCCAGCTCCCATTCAACATAGCAGCAAAGTAACTAGATCTGGCACACAGTATGGCCCTGGGAGAGGAAAAGAAAGGGGATAAGAACACAAGCAAACATTATTCCACTAGATACAAATATTTATTTTAGAAAAGCTGTTACAAAAGGTTGGAATTCTTTGCTCTTTTCATACTAATATGTGTGTGCACTGCATACTTTCTCCTCCCAGTATATTGGATAAGTTAATCCAATTTGTCACAGATTTGAGGAAACCTGCTACTGTACTGAAATGCTTCCAGTTAATGTCTAATCTACAATGCATTTTCGTTATCCACATAACTAGGGCTGGGAAAGAAATCTCTCAAATTTCGAGGCACCCACTTTAAACATACAAGCAGATAAGAAGTCTTGTTGAGGGCTGAGCTGTTAACTTATTTTGTCATTTAGTTATTAATTTGCATTCATTTACTCCAGATGTTCTGACATGCTTCATTTGTGGAAGGTAATACTTTTGAAAGTGAAAGGATGAAGCCAGTGTTGGGCAAGTTGTGGCCCTTCAGCTATACAGTGCTGCCTCACTTCACGATTGCCCTGCATTACGATGAATCCACTTAACTACAATCTTTTTGTGATTGCAAAACGATGGTCTGAATGGGGGAATTTCGCTTTATGATGATCAGTTCCCCGCTTCGGGAACCGATTCTTCGTAAAAACGACGTTTTTTGAACAGCTGATCGGTGGTTTCAAACTGGCCGCCGGGTGATTAAAATGGCTCCCCGCTGTGTTTAGGGACGGATTCCTCACTATACAGGCAACGAAAATGGCCGCTGTATTGAGAATCTTCGCTGGATGGTGAGTTTTTACCCCACTGAAACGCATTGAACGGGTTTCAAGGAGTTTCAATGGGGTTTTTATTTTCACTTTACGATATTTTCACTTAACGGCGATTTTCCTGGAACGGATTATCATCGTTAAGTGAGGCACCACTGTACTACTCCCTCATGGGACCAAATGTTGCTCCCGGAAGTCCTGGGGGGCCCTTAGCACCTTCAAACACTCTTAAAATTTTGGCTAAAAGAGTCCCTTCCGTTTTCTTCTACTAGGGATAAAGGGCAATTTTATTATGGTTTGAAACTGCCCCCCAAGCACCTGGCCCCCAATTTTTTTTAATGAGAGTGTGAGGGGTCTTTTTCAATTTTAGAATTGTTTAAGAAAGATCGGGGTGGTAGTAGTGGCATGAGAGCAGCCCTGCAAGTCCAGTGATGCCCATGTGCCATCCTCATACAGTCAAGGCCAAAAATATTGGCACCCTTGCAATTCTCTCAGAAAATGCAACCCTTCTCTCAGAAAATTGTTGCAGTTGCAAATGTTTTGGTACTCACATGTTCATTACTTTGGTTTGCTTTGGAACAAAAAAAAAACAGAGAAGAAAAGTAAAATCTGATACAATCCCGCACAGAAACCCAAAAAATGAACTGGCCAAAATTATTGGCATCCTTAACTGAACTTAAAACTCTCCAGTGCTTTGTTTGTAACAATTTCTGAGTGCTTTTTGAAGTGTGTTTCAGGTCATGGTCCTGCTGGAAGACCCATGACCTCTGGGGGAGATGCAGCTTTCTGACACTGGCCACTACGTTGCACCCTCTTTGGTAATCATCAGATTTCATGATACCGTTCACACAGTCAAGACATCCAGTGCCAGAAGCAGCAAAGCAGTCCCAACACATCTTTGAACCTCCACCATGTTTGACTGTAGGGCCTGTGTTCTTTTCTTTGAATGCTTCATTTCTTTTTCTGTCAACAGTGCCATGATATCCTTTACCAAAAAGCTCTACTTTTATCTCATCTGTCCACAATATGTTCTCCCAGAAGGATTGTGGTTTTGTAACATGAGTTTTGGCATACTCCGGACTTGCTTTTTTATGCCTTTGTTTCAGGAGTGGTGTCCTCCTGGGTCTCCTGACATAGCGTCCCTTTTCATTCAGATGGCGACAGATAGTGCAAGATGACACTGTTGTACCCTGTGTCTGCAGATCAACTTGAATTCGTTTTAAGTTAATCTGGGTTCTGTATCTACCATTCAAACAACCCTTTTTTCAGTAATTTTGCTCTTCTCACGTCCAGGGAGAGTAGTTACAGTGCCATGGGCTGTAAACCTCTTAATGATTTTGTGCACAGTGGAAACAGGAACATTAAGATCTCTGGAGATGGACTTGTAGCCTTGAGATTGCTGAGTATTTCCACAATTTTTTCTCTCAAATCCACAGACTATTTACACTTCATTCTTTTCTCCATGCTCAGTGTCACACACAACACAAAGGTTGAGCCAACTTTTCTTCATCTTCACTGGTTGCAAGTGTGATTACGATATTGCCCACCCTTCTTACTTGTGACAGGTATGTCTAAACACAAATGAAAGGAGCATCACATGAGGGTGCCAATAATTTTGTCCAGTGCTTTTTTGGATTTCTGTGTGGGATTGTATCAAATTTGACTTCTCCACGTTTTTGTGTTGTTCCAATGCAAACCAAATAAATGAACATGTGAGTACCAAAACATTTGCAAGTGCAACAATTTTCTGAGAGAAGGATTGCATTTTCTGACAGAATTGCAAGGGAGTCAATATTTTTGGCGATGACTGTAACACTTGAAATTGCCCACCTTGGCCTAATTCCAATTGTTAGTCCCAACTAGAGTCAACCCACTGGATCAATACGACTTTGTTAAATTAAGACATATGAATTTAATTGGTTCAATCGGGTTGCTCTACATGGGACTAATAACTGGATTTACTTGAAAGAGCTTTCTTAGAAGACCCATATATTGTTCGCTGCCATCCCTGTTGTGAAGATTTCTTTAAGGTTGGGGCAGGGTGAACTTTTAAAGGTTTAAAACATGATGAACTTCATTTGTTAATGAGAATCAGTTTTCACCTAAAGTTGGATTTGCTCTTCCTTAAATCAAGACAGCAAGACCACTTGTATTTCTGAACAAAGTTTGGTCGTTGCATCATTTGCATGATACTTTATCTAAACTGTTGTGAGGACCTGCGTCCTAAAAAATTTTTTTGATTCAGTCTCTCTCGCTGTTGGCCACGCTAGCTGGGGTTGATCAGAGTGCTACATATTGGTTACCCTTTTCCTAGATGTTTCAAGTGATATTAATCCTCAAAAACTTCTATAGATGTTTGTATTTGGAATATTTTTGTATTTATTTCTGTTCTCTTTTAGAGAAAGCATATTTCAATTTTCATGATATAAAAGGTTCATGTAACTGTATGGCATTCAGAATATAGAAAATAAAATTCCCATTTTAAAATGACCCTATATCTTTAATTATGACGTATCAACATTGGTTGAATGTTTTAATATAATGAATTTGAGATAAAGATGTCCATCTTAGGGGCAATTCACTGACAACATTCTTAACATGGATTTACACACTGGAGCGTAACATATAATGTTCCTCATTAATAATGTGATAATCAGGTCACAACATCAAGCGGAAAAAATACTCAGCTTTGCATGGACTCAAAATGGAGTAAGATGGTAGCATAACTAAACACTGGTGCATTCCAATCTCTGTCTTGTTCAAAGTGAGTCTTGAGTTCTATAAAGCAGAGGTCCCCAACGCCCAGTCCACGGCCCGGTGCTGGTTCATGGCTTGAACCGGACCGGGTAGCAGAGACATACCTCCGCCCCACCCCCGCACACACTCCCCCCTCGCACAGCCCATTTGCGCTGGAGCATGAGCCTGTATACACTCCCCCCTCGCACAGCCCATTTGCGCCTCAGCATGAGCCCGCATGAGCACTACGCTGCCCTTTGCACATGCGCACAAGCATGCCCATGCCCATACAAGTGCCCACACTCTTTTGCGTATGCGCACGAGCACACTTGCGCCACAGCACACATGCTCCTTTGCACATGTGCAGGGGGGTGCCCTGCCTTCTCCAGCCGGTCCGCGGGGCTAAAAAAGTTGGGGACCGCTGTTATAAAGTATGTAGTCCAAGAACATCTGGAGGCCCAAGGTTGGGGACCACTGGACTATAGGACTGAGAAATTATATACAGTATTGGCATTCCACATTATATGCAGACCTTAGGGAAGTTACTTTGTTTGGATTAAACCTTGCAGAATCCAAGTTGACTGGCCATGATGCCAAATGATTCTGGCAGCTGTAGTGTGAAAAAGTAAGTTTTGCAAACTCTAGTTTTATATTAGGCGCTGCCTTGGAAGGCTTGTAATTTTGAAAAGTAGCTAAGAAGTGAATAATATAGCATTAATACTTTTTTTTTTCCATTTTGGTCCCTGGATAAAAGCTTACTAAACTCATTTCAAGCAATGGCATAGTTTCAAAATACCTGTGCACTTGGAATTGTTTTCCATCGATCCAAATATTAATATCTGAAAACCAAGATTTCTTGTAGAGCATCAGCAGGTCTTTTCCTAAATCAGATGCAGAATTAACTGGAGAAAGAAAATAACTATTTATATTCCACACTGTCATGTTCTGTAATTCAAATATTCATAGACTAAAAATATTATTTTAAATTGTTACATTGCAGACATAGGTTTTGTATGTATACAAACCTTTTATACTTAAAAGGAAAATTAGCTGGTATAAAGTGCACTGTGCATAAATAAAATACAGGTTCAATTCCTGCCAATTTCAGTGGTTAGATTCTGATGTCTATGGAGTGTGTGTGTTCTTTGGTTCACTTCGTACGTTAATGCCTATAGTAGAACTCTAAGTGTTTTGTTGGCTGAGTCTTCCACATTACTTTTCAAGTACTGACGGGGTGAGTATACAATTCAAGGAAGCAAGAGTGCCATGTGAGTAACCAGTAAGACAGCAGGAAGTTGGAATGTTCAATACATGAAGAAACGACATGTTCTATCACACATGGCCCTCTTCTTTCTTTGTGTTGTGCTTTTCAAACTATAAGCCTGCAGTCAGGGCCCATCTTATTTGTTTTGGTTACTCTCTATCTTACCTATCTCACCTCTCCAGCTGAAGAATTAGATAAAAATACTTTAAATAAATAAGAAAAGGAACCCTGCAACTCTAGAAAAACCCTCACGGCTGCTCATCTCTCCTACCCCACCACTAGATTGTTTAAAGAGGAAAGTCACAAAGTAGTGAACTAGAATGTATCTCTTCTCAGTCCACAGAGCAGCTCCACCCTTCATACTCAAGAGGCAGTTGTAAGGGTAGCCACTATCTCTATATGTGCCTACCGCCCCCATCTGACTGGCGCAAGCCTCATTTCCTCAGAAGCTAAGCTGTAGGAGAGAATTATCTGTTGTGACACTGCTAGTGGAATGACTGCAAACTTTGTTGGAGACAGTGAACAAACCCACACTGGCATTTAGTTGTAACGAAAGAAAATCCAAACACTGCCAATTTAACCTCACCTGACATCGTTCTATTGCCTTCAGCATCTACAGCTTCTTCAGGAATTTCATTTGCAATAAAAGGGAAAGCAGCAGATTCTGTTTCTACAGCACTGTTCAAGGCATACTGATGCCCAAGTGTCCTTTCATGATTTTCCAGGCACAGTTCGGCTGGCATCTGACCACTCTCTAGATGGCTGACTTGAAGACTTTCATCTTCCTTTGTAAATCTGAGCTTTGATACTCCTTTCTCAAAAATCTCTTGCTTGGCCTCTTTAATGTTTCCATCAGAAGAATATACAATCCTGGAAAAGAGAATGAGGCTGCAGTCCTGCTTATTTGAAAGTAAGCCTGATTGGTCTCAGTGGGACATACTTCCAACTATATACACATAGGGCCAGGCTGTAAAACAAAGCTGATGCATTGGAAAATTCAAAGTGCTTTACATGAGCAAAGGAAGATCTGCACTCTCTGTAGAGGAGATCTGCTGGCCTTAATAAAAACAAAATACAGTAAATCTCTGCTTTGCTATTCAGGCTTTCTAATGTCACAATATACTAGGGCATGAGCATTTTCTTTCGCCCATATTATCCATTTGGAAAACTGAAGCTGTGTATATGCTAAAAGATTTCCCTAATATGAATAAGCAATTCACAACAGCAATATGAAAGACAAAACGTGGCACACAGCCTTGGGTAGTTAATAAAGTAATGAAGAAAAATGAGTTTTTTTTCCTTTGAAACCTCAATACTATTTTAATTTGGAAATATTTCCAGAAACTATTTCCTAGAAAGACTTGCTTAGTACTATGTATGAATTTATGGAGTGTTACAAAAAGTATGTGTTTTCCTTTGAGGCATAAACACTCTTGTCCAAATCTGTTTTGAAAACGACCTCCAGACAGACATTCTAAACTGTGCTCTGCAATCAGATGAAACTTGTCTGTGTTTATTAGTCAATTCATAAAAAATTTGAGAAAAATGCAAGATAGTGTTCTGGGTGAAGTTCCTGCCTGGAAGCTACAACACTCTGTTATCAGACAAGTCATCTAAATTAAAGATGCAAAATTCTTCTTCCCTATGGGAAAGTAGGCTGACGGGACTGCTAAAATCTTGATAATCGCTTGTAGGGTTGACAGATTCCTGAACACCCCAACAAACAAGTAATGACTTTGGCCTACATGGGAAGGAGAATCAGGCAGCCAGTTCCACATACAAAAGCCAGTTCTGAATATTCCATCACAGTTTAGCACAGCCAAGAAAGTGATAGCTAGGCTTTGAAGCTAGGAGGATGTTTGATTTTTTTTTGACCCAACATCACCAAAGACCGGTTCTAGATCTATCCAACAGCTCAATGGTGTCAATATGTATAGATTAATTCCTTAAACATAAGACCTAAATAATAGCATTTTTGTACTCCAATACTTAGTTACTTTACCGACAAAGTGAGAAATGTGTATCAAAAATTTACACATGAAAATGCTTAGAAAAAGACAACAAATAACACTAATAATGGTCAAAATCCTATTGGTTAGTGAAAAAGACAACAAATAACACTAATAATGGTTAAAATCCTATTGGTTAGTGCAGTAAACTGCACTAAAGTAGGCCCATTGAAATAATAGTAAATTGCACTAAAGTAGGCCCATTGAAATAACTGATTTAGGAAATCAACTCCATGACTTTATTGATCCAAATGGGCTTATTCTAACTGCAACTTTTAGAGGTTTTACTACCTGTCAATCCTGTCATACGGTATACATTATGTTTTGTGCCCACGTTCATGAGTATATATATGTTAACTATTTGAAGAAAGCCTCTAGTTTTTCAAGGTTACCAGAATACTTAACAATCCCTCCTCCATTAATGCTACAGTTCAGGTAAGGTCACAGTCACCTTGGTTATGGCAACTATTGACAGCTGCCTTCTCAGGTGGTAAATACCTTGTGTCATAAATGGCTACAGAATCAGATCTTGTTGCCAGTTGAGTAAATACAGGATAAGGTCAGTGTTGAAAAATTACAAGCTTCCCAATATGTTGGAAATTACTGATCTTGCTGGCAACAAGCCAGATTCTGAGATTCTTGATGATTGAAATTCTTGAGATCCCGAGGGTTCTGGCTAGTGTGGCACATGGGGGGAATGAGGAACTCTGGGAAACTGTGCAAGGGCCTTTTGGCCACCTGTGGGCCCACGTTTCTGCACAGGGAAGTATGGGAAAGGCGTTCCCAAGAGGGGCAGTGCCAGTACAAGAGAATGCTGGTGGATTGACCCTATTGAGGGTGGGGTGAGGAGAATCTTAACCACATAAAACTGATGGCTCGAAGAGTCCTATGCCTCCCTTGGTTGCAAGCTTTGGAGGTCTCTTGGGCTGGGTCGGCTCTCATACAGACTGCTGGGAGAGCATCCGCCGGCAGGAGGGGAGGTAGCTACAGGCCTCCTTGCTTCTCCAATGAGCCATTCCGTAGGGCTTCTCTCGTCTTTGGCAACTTTCCCACCACCAGTTGCCGGAGCGGCTTTTAGAAATTCTGGCTGCCTCTGCACACATGGATGGTGCTCTGGTCAGCCATCCAGTTGTGGCCCCGCAGAGCCACAAGGCTTCACTGTCACTCTCATGCAAAGAAAGCATGAATCCCTAAACAGGATGAATGACAGAGTCATTTGCTAAGGAAAATATGTTTTCTCTTCAAGACTTCCCAGTGATTTACAAGCTGTTGCCTCCTTTTAAGCACACCCATCTGTAAGTTTCGTATCTGATAAACGTTCTTGATTTTATATGCTAATGAACTGACTACGTATTTGTGAACCCAAAAAACGCATCTGATTATGAACACACAGCATGTTTTGTAATATATGTATCTTGAATTATCTGTGGATAAATTGCTTATCTCCTTAATATCCCCTTCAGTTAATAACAACGGTACATTCTTTAATAGAAAGGTGCTGTGTATGGGGGCAAAATGAAGGATACATTTCTGATATCTGTCACGCTCTCCCCCAAATCTGTTCCTCCCCATAACAAAGCTGACTGCTCCTAGCTGAGAAGGCAAGACTAGTTCTTCCTTAGCTCCTCTCTGCAAGTGTATTTGGTCTTGGAGGACACGTACGGGTTTTGAATGGATCATTCCCGTGTTTTTTTCTTTTGAATACACAAGTGAGCAAGTTATACTACTGGTCTCTTTTTCTCTCTCTCAGACTGGATACATCCTTTCTGGTTTAACTATGAACAATAATGGAGCACATATGGCTTCCATGTAACCTTAGCAACAAAGGAAAAGTACAGGAATTTCCAGATTTTGGTTAGCTGTTTGTTCAACATTACACAGCATGTTTAGATGAAGCACCATTAAGTTGGCTTCAAGTTATAGAGAGCTTCACAGGGTTTCCTAGATATAAAGTGATTTATCTTTTGGTGGCATTCTGGAAGCATAGGACCCCCACATCCATGGGAAATCCATTCTATGATCTACTGTGAATGCCTGAAACTGCAGATACTGTAGTAGCAAACCCTACTACAGTGGTACCTTGACTTACAAACTTAATCCATTTTGGAACAACGTACGTTAAAAAGTCCGTAAGTCGAAGTACCATTTTCCATTGAAATGCATGCGAACGGAATTCATCCGTTCCAGCATTTCAAAAAATTATCTTTGGAGGTCTCAAAGGGCTTTCTCCCCGACATTGGAGGAAGCCCTTTGAGAGCTCCAAAGGCAAAAAGGCAGAGAGAAAGAGAGGGAAATTCGAATTCCAGCCCTTTCTCCCTACCTTTTTGCCTTCGGAGCTCTCAAAGGGCTTCCTCTGATGTTGGGCGGAAAGCCCTTTGAGACCTCCAAAGATGACGAACGGCTCCGTTCGCAAAAAATGGCATTGACTTGCGAATGGAGCCTCGATCTAATTCGTAGTGTGAGGCTCTGTTTGCAAGTCGATGCCAATTTTTGCGAACGGAGCTGTTCGGAAATCAAAAAGTTCATATGTAGGTACGTTCATAAGTCGAGGGTTGACTGTACATACTACATACAAGGAGGTGGGACAAAAGCCGTAAGGCCCATCCGCTTGTATGGTGACAAGGCCTATCCGCTTAAATGTTGTATATAGGGCTGTGGTAAACTGTGGATATTGATCTCATGGATATGGGGGTCATACTGTAGATATGATTATATCTCCTGTCACCAAGGCCACATCAGTGGCAGGTCATGTAATGCCATTAGGGGATTTGAACTCTCATCCTTTGGCTCTGCATCCAGGGACTCCAAATCCACTGAGCTGTATTATACTGCATTATATACATTACAGTACATTTAAGACTGTCACAGTAGTAAGCTAGCAGATCACTTCCTTATTCTGAAACTGTTTATTACAGAAAGCTGACATGCCTACAGAAAAAGGAGGACGGTAAGAAAGAAGAAATACAACAGAATTAAAAGGGGGGGGGGGACAAAGAAGGCAGCCTGTCTACTCATATTCCATCTTTAGGCTGCATTTGCATGCAGCTCTGGCCTTCAGCATCTTGTAACCAGAGTCCCCTCTTTGTATGGTTTAATTTATTGTAATTGACTGACTTAATAAATATTTGATATTTAAGCAGTTCTCCATTCTGTCCACGAATCCTGAAGTATTCCCTGTTGTAGTGACCTAGTCATGGCACGCAGTGGCAGCTAATCTCACAACATCAAGCACATCCCGAGCTAGGTGCAGTGTTGTTGTGGAAACGACCTTATGTCATCTGCACTCTTAGATCAAACCAATCCCTGAGAGCAGCAAATAATGAAGAAAACCTGCCCAAGGCTGTTTTTCAAAAATATTTACAACCACACATGCAATTAGGGACCAAATGAACACTCACTAAATTTCTCCTTCTCCTTGATTTGATTTAGGCTGTCTGGATGCAATAAGATACTGTAACAAAGGATTTTAAACCTTGTGAGATTTCTCAGTTCCAGACACAGCTTTCCCTGACCCATGAGGTCTCCATAATTCGTATATAATGCCCATAATGTCTATTCCCTTTAACAAGCAAAGAACTGTACCTCCCTTCCAAACATACACACACGCACATAGTAGTGTTGCAAGACTGTTAAGAAACATGCAAAAATCCACCTATACCTTCAAAATCTGAAGCAGTGGTCAGCCTACTTCGGATTATTTCTTGCAATTTGTTTTCTTGCCACATTGTACTTTTGCGCAAAATTAATTTCTGTAAAAGCAAAAGTGCTGCACCAAAAAGACAACAGAAGAGTTGCCAGGAAATTCCTTGACATTTCCACTGGGAAGAAGAACATTTCAATTCCTCATCCCTGTCTGCAAGG